GGAGTTGCAGTTTGTTTTTTAAACGACCGGAGTTGAGTTGATTTGTTTGTTTGATTTTTATCTATTTTTGTCGCGAGAGATATAAAACATGTGCTCAGCCTATAATAACATATGATACACCACATGTATCACACAGAAGGAAAAGAAAAATTAACATTTCAATTGTTGAAATGTAATTTTGATTTATTATAATGATTTTTTTGTGTGCATACTATTATAAAAGAAAATATAACCGTTGTTATACGAACGAATCAGAAAAACAGGGAGGTAAAAGAACCAATAGATTTCAACTCAGAATCGAAATGAAGTTGAAGTTGAGACCCTCGAAGTTGAAGTTGGAGTTTAGGTTTCTTGGTGGAATTAGAGTTGGGGTTGAGTTGGAATTGTACCTAGCTGAAGTTGCCCATCTCTGATGTGGAATCATTAATCTTTTTAACTACTAATAAAGATATGTGAACATGTTGAAACATTTAGTTCATAAAGATGACTAAATAAAAAATAGTTCAATAAATTTCCCGATTAAATTTCAACTTCCTAAACAATAATAATTTTAACAATATACATCATCAACAATCAATAGAGGTCTAGTTTTTGGAATTAGGTACCGATCACAAACATTCACAAACACGCAATTTTTCTATTGAACTCTTTTAAAATAGTTAACGCAATCAAACGACTTTATTAGGTACAGTTGTTTTTTTTCTATGTTTATTAATTAGATTTAGAAAGTGATCTCAATTTGGAATAGAGAATTTGTTCTTTTCACACACTTTGTACACTATTTGTAATTTACAAAAAATACCACAGAACAATCATGTTTTAGGTGTATACTCATCATCATCTCTTACGTTACAAACATCATCTAACACAAATAACGGTAAGTTAATGATCGTAATATGACTTGATAAAACTTCAGAATTGAAACTTTCATTTAAATAATTTTTCTTTGTTTCAATCAACTGGATATAGTTAGTACAAACCCATTTTTAGGTTTCGTTTTTATTCGTCAATTTCAGTTTTGATACGAGAAAAATGTAGAATTATAAACAAAATTAGATTGAGATATTGTGTTTCAAGATAGCGCTCGCTACTTTTCATTTTTATGGTCTTATCCGATTAAGTAATATCGCTTTCAGATCATTTGCGTTTGTTTTCAGCAACGGTTTCGAGAAATACCTCAATCTATTTTTCTCTCGACAGTAAGCAACCATTCCCAATTACGGAGTGATACGAAATTACAAACAGTGTACAAAGTGTGTGAGACGAACAAATTTCCTTTTCCAAATTGAGACTACTCTCTAAATCTAATTAATAAATATAGAAAAGAAAATGGATCTTAATCATGATGCTACGGTTATGTTATATAACGCTACATATTGTTGACATATCAATTTAATTTACATTCTGATCAGTAGACAGTTTTATATCGTGCTTTTAACTCTTATCTGGTATCCATTTGTTCCTTTTTCATAACATTCGCTTCACAATTGAAACAAATTATTTTGAAGTATAAATTGGCGGTATCTATTATAAAATTTACCAATATTTTAAACAAATGCTAACAGTTTGTGTAAATAGCATTTGCAACACTATACTTCAAATAGCAGAGGTTTAATACTGTTACAATGGCATAGTAAACAAAATCGTAGATCTTATACAGCGCCTGTTAAATTCTCAATTCTGAATGAAAAAATTAGAGTAAAAAACGTAGTGGCCAAATTCCAATTGACTATTTAAATGAATAATTGAAGAAACATGAGTATTCTGGGTGACCCCACTATTTTTGTGTTAAGAGTAAAAACTGTAAAATTAAATATTGAACATCATTAAAATTGCTATTCTTTAACTCGTCCACTACTAAACGGCATCGGATCACGTCTAACTGCAAGATGGAAAATCTTATAAAATTTAATTAAAGTCGCTTTCTTGTCCTATTATTTTTATTGCGTCCTTATAAATGAATAAAGATTGATCTCAAATTTGCATTCTCATTATAGATAGTGCCATGGCCAAGGGGGAAAAACCTCACTTTAAGTGTGTGCACCTTCCAGTTAAGTGTCACTTTAAATTGACACTTAAGTGATTAAGTGTCATTTCAAATTCCGTATCTTTCTGGAAAATCAAGAATTCAGCCCTATATGTTTCGAAATATAAAATGTATGGACTGCGACTGTTCCGCATCATACGATTCTGCTTTTTTTATCATTTTAATGAACAAAGTTAGAAAGCATCTACAAATACCAACAAAAACTGAAATTGTCACCGAAAAACCTGTAAGCAGTATTTACAAAAAACTAAACATACATGCTTTTTTAACTATTTTTAATCCTTTCAGGATCGGCTTATTTTGAGCAAAAATTGCAAATTTTTCAACTTTTCAAAAACTGATTTATTTTTCCAGATTCATCAAGCCAGATCGCGCGAAATTTCAATGACGCTTTAAAGCGTCACCGGTCCCGAAAGGGTTAATACAAAGAAATATGGCACAGTCGACCTTTGCTAATATTTTTTTAATGATTTTAAATGGATGAGCACTGCACAGCTTAGTAGAAAATACAAACTAAGTTTTCGCTGAAGTCTCAGTCAGTTCGTTGTCATGCTTTCTGGCCCGTTTCGGCAAGATGTATTATCCAAACAGGCAATATGGTCTGATCAGGCAAGGAGTAGCTTACCCGTTTTGGTAAGGTTTCCACACCTTTTTCTTTCAATGAATTAGCGCATAAATCAAAGCTATAGCGCATGTAGACACTCGTTCCACATGATAAATCGGCCAAAGTTGCATCAAATAGAGTTTTCCTTGGGTGATATGGTGCTTTCTTGTACGGTCAGAAAACTGACCAACTATATCTGCCTCAGGATTACCTTGCCTGATCTGGCAAACTTACCCGTTCGAGCAATATTTCCCAATCAAGCAAGGACAAAAGATTGCTTGATCGGGCAAGATAAATAGCGCAAAATTGAGCTATATTTGCTATTCGTCTGTCATAAAAGAGAAAGAAAGTTGAACACATAACTTTAACATACGGTGAATAATCGGTGCACGAGGAGTAGAATGAACATTTCCCGCCCATTAGACGACTGATGATTCTCGAGATGAGATTCTCCCCGAACGGACAAGTTGCCTGTACAGGCAATACTGCCCGATCCAGCAAATAACATCGGACTGTCAGTATGTGAGGATGAATGAAAATTATTTTCCATGAACGGGAGAAGTTCTTCTTTAGTTATGTAACTATTTCTTTCAATATAGATCAGCCGCTTTAATGACAAGACAATAGTTATTTTTCTTTTCTTTTTATTGTTGTTATTTTACTATGTATAGACGGTTTTTCACAGTCCTTCTCTTTCTATATTACTGATCGTTCGTTCGGTTATGGATGCTACTCACTCATAGTAACGTCTCCATCTTATTCTTTCGTCTGTTTTCTCTCTTTTCTTTTTATACATAATTCTGATGATTTTACTTGACAAGAATAAAATATCTGAAATAAAATCGAACGTTTAAAGTTGTACAAGGCAATTATCAAAGAAGACTATTAGTGAGGCCTTAGCTTCCGATCTAATAACCCTAACACACACATGTGCATTAAAATGTGCACGAGAAAAAAGATCTCATACACCTTATTAGAGATCTCCGATTATGAGGCTCTAACTTGACTCTTCATCTTTAATTTATTACGAAAACCAAAAACGTTCCAATAATAATCCTCATAATCATCCTTTCTCGCTGTATTTATGGAACAATCATAGAGACAGGAATGTAAAACTACGTGAAGTGATGCAATAAAATTGTACGATGAAGCGGTGTGATGAAGAAAGAATGTATGACCAAGAGAATGATAAGAGGATGACTATCGCATCTTATATGTGGAAGGCCAAGTCTGTAACGCACCTCTAGACTTCTTTTTATAAAACAACATGTAACTTTTGGGCAAAAAGCGAAATAAAATCTGTTACTTTTTCTTACTCATAACGAGGAAAAATTAGCAACCACTACTGCTCAAATCTAGTTCAAAACAGGCAAATAAACGTGACACTTAAAGTGCCTAAGTGACACTTAAAATGACTGTCACTGATAAGTGTGTGCACCCTTTTAGGAGGTCGTTTTCCCCTTGGCCATGGCACTGTCTATTTAGTATTGTCCTGCAGAACAATACTAAATTCGATATAATAACTCTGCATACCAAATATAAGTAGTACATATAAGTAGAACTGAAAAAAGAGGTGATCCTTTAGTATTCATAAACTCTAAGTTGATATATTCAATTTTAATACACCTGCGCAAAACAGACATTTGCTAGAGAAATAGACAATCCTGTACACATCCGAACTAAAGATAAGATTTAGGTGTGAATATAATTCTTCATTAAATAATCTAATAAAAAATGGCACACATGTAAATAAAAATACACTCTCTTCTATTCAACAAGAAAATGACAGTGAGAAGAATTATGATATTCTTTTAAGAAATGAGTACACACATATACTAGATTTATATAAAATATAACTGAGATTTAAAATACTAATAACCAATATTGGCTATTTTAAAAACGAAAGGAATGTGAGAGAAATAGCAAAAAGCATTAAATAAAAAATAGGATAAAAAAGTTTTGTCAAAATATTTTCTGCCTTCAACTGATCTATTTTTTTACCCGTTCAATTCAAATCTATCTTGTTTCATAGAATTGTCATTTAGAATAATTAGAAAAGTGTTTAACACCAAAGATATTATATCTGTTTAAAAAAGAAATGTGTTGGTCTCTCAGAGACTCACTGAAAGATTCCTTAGACCACAGAAGAAAAAACTATATTAAAAAAAAAGTTATACTCTATCATCATATTCTCATTAGAGGTCTAGTAAATAAGAGGATATCTCTTTTCACATATGTATATCTTTCTTTTCGATCGACACGTTGAGACAAAAACATCTTCGCACATGGAATAGCTATATTATGTGGAAAGAGATATCTTCTTATTTGCTAGTTCTCTTTTATCTCTATTCAAAGAAGTTTTGGTAATTTTCTTATTTGAGTAAGATCAAGTATTTTATTTCTATCTGAACTGGTGGACGGAATTCGTTGAATTATTTTTGAAAATTTTTGTACGTTATTCACACTCGAAGTATTACGATAATTACTGATGTTCTCGATATAATCATCATCATCATCAGATATTGAATCAACGGTTAATGGTGTTTTATTCAAACTACTACTGTCTGATAATTCACTTAAATATTGATGTTGATTTAATAGACCATATTTTTCCAAATACTTTTGTGTAGCAAACGATAAACCTTTATCATATGATTGTTGTTGTGGTTGAATTTGACATTGATTTGAATATTGAACTAATTGATCATCTTCTAAATATTTCATTGCTATTGATCGAACTTCGAAACTTAAATCATTCTCTTTTGGTGGTGTTTGTAATTGTACAGGCTGCTGTTGCTGTTGTTGTTGTTGTTGTTGTTGATACAATGTTGTACTTTGTTGATTAATTATTTGCATTTGTAAACGAGCTTGATGATCGACTGTAAAACTGATACCAGTTGTTGATGTTACATTTATATTACTACCACTATTCAAACGTCGTCGTATTGTTGGCGATGAAATAACAAGAGCAGCCGTATTATTATTATTTTGAATGACATTTGCTAATTGAGATATTTTTTCTGCTTGTTTAGTACTTTCTTTTTCAATTGTTTTTAATGTTGTATCTAACAATTTTGATGTTGAACTATTATTATTGTTGAATTCAACAATTTGTCGTTGTTGTGCCATATATTGAAAAAATGGTTTTAGAATATTTTCAGGATTTATTTCTGTAAGTATTTCAGATTGTTCATCGTCATTATTATTTTCATGCTGATGATATTCTTCATTGATATTGTTATTATTAGTATTGGTACTCACGGAAGATAATTGTTTGAGTTGTTGGTCACTATTGGATGTGTGTGATGAAAATTGATTGATTGAATCAAATGAGCGACGTAATGGTGTTATTAAATTATTTGATTGTTGATGATAATGGCTAAAATCAGTCGATTTATATAATAATGAATAATCAACAACTGGTGGTTGATTGTGTTTTGATAAACTTGGAGAATTATTAATACACTTTGACTAAAACAAAAATATAATAATCTATCACCCGACTCTCAATTTAGCATCCCATCAAGTGCGACAAATGTCTCAATTAGAAAGAAACGTTGTCATTATCTGTTCGGATCTTGAGAGAAAAAGAACGATTTTGTTTGTAAATCAGTCTTCATCGGGTTTTATTCAAAAAAATAACCAAAAATAATTTCAATAAATGATATATTCCTGACTTTTGAGAAAAAACGGACTGCTGACCCTTGTAGCGAACAGTATAGTATAGATTACATTTATCTGTTTTATTCATCAAAATTTGTGAGAACTATAGCCAGAGTTTTTTTTCCGAATGCATTTTGATTCTAGGATTATTTATGAATGAAACTGAAAAACACGAAGTATTTTTTCAATTGACTTACAACTGATTGAACTTGAGCTTGCTGTTGTTGTCTTTGTTCGTATGATGATGATCGCTGTACATTGTTTAACATTCGTGGAGTTGTATTATTAAAGTCTGCCGTTTGTCTTTTGATAGGAATGTCATTATTTAGTGTATTACTATAACTGTTCGTACCGTCCTCATTAGGTATAGGAGAGAGTGAATCGCTTTGAACACCGACATCAACTTTTTTGTCTTGAGAATTTGGTGTCGTTGGTAAAGACGGTATTATCAATGATTTTTGGGCTAATAATTGTGATACCAACGTATTTAATGATTGTATATGAGCATCATACGTATTCATTTTTTCTAAAATTTCTTCTTTAAACTGTGCCACTAATGGAGAATCAGGTATAGTTGGTGGTACTGTCGATAATAGTGAATCAAGTTCAACAGTTATTCGTGTGTCCGGTTGTTGTACTGGTGATGTAGGTAAAATTGGTGTAGTAGGAGGTGATGAATTTTTTAAAGTTTTTACTGGCCAATGTTTCTGGGTTGACGATTTTAATGTAACATCTGACCAAACTGGCGAATTTGTTTGTTTTGGAGGTTGTCGAGGCACACCGTATAAACTTCCGTTTGTATTATTCGGTGAATATGTCATAATACTCAAATGTTCTTGCTCTTCATTATTAGGATTATCGTCTTCATCATCCGACAAAATCGAAGCGTTAGACGAAAATTGTTGTTGTGGTGTTTTGATCGGTGTTGGTGTTGAATGTGATTTTACAAGATATGGTTGTTGACATTCACTCTGTTTACTATTAATACCACAAGCATCAAGTAAGGCATGCATTTTTGGTCCATCATACACATGTTTAAAGTCAAAATCATACGGCAAATTTGTTGCATTGTCGTTTGTTGATGTTGTCGGCATAATGATTTTTTTCGTTGTTGTCCATAAATGGTAATCGATATGTTGATTTGTTGTTGTTACTTCATAATATTCACATTTTCCACGTGCTAACGACGAATAGAATAACAAAATAAATGGCTGATGTTCGAGACTTCGTATTCGGTGTTTCAGTGATAAATTCATACAATAACGAATGCAAACAGCCCAGACAAATGGACTTTGAACATTAATCACACCGGATACCCAACTAAAATGGATAAAAATGATTAATAATAATGACTAAATTAAATTTAGAAAGAACTTAGAGTGTAAAGTCAAAAATGATACCATGGGCTTTTGTCTCGTTCTTTATTGTTCTGTACTTTTTCCTCAGTCACAATAAATATAGCTTAAACTAACTTACATTCCAACTAATGGTAATGCACATGCTTGTGGATCATTTTCTAGTATAAGTAATAGTTTATTTTTTGATGTACGATCAATGCCACAATAGCCAAAATGTTGTTGATTCATGTATAATCCTGTAGTAATATTTTTCAATAGAGCTGTTGGTAAAATTGTTACTGAATTAATGGGATTTAATTTAAATTCATTTTTTATTGTCAATAAATCAAATGTTAAATTAGCATTTATCGATGGTGTTAAACGTGATGTCATATGACCATATAATAAAAAGAAATTGTGTAATTCTAATTTTGATGTTGATTGACAATAAGTATCAATCACCTAAAAATAAATACATACAAAGATTACCTACAATAGATTGTGAAAAGAATAAGTAAAATAACAAATGCTGTACAATATTTGTTCACAAATTTTTCGCTATTATCTATTATAGGAGTCGTATGTTCAAAAATTTATAAACGTACGTTAATTCCATCATTCATAATCGAACATATAACATCATGATTTAATGTAGTATCAAATCGAACTGGAATAAAAAATTCACCTGGTAATTGTTTATATAATAAATTTGATGTTAATTTTGATGATGTATCATCTAATTGTAAACGATCAATAACAAATGTTAAACGATTTGTTTCATCGTCAACAATTAATGTTCCAACAAATAATATTTGAGATCGAGATGTTGTTCCATGTTGTAATCGAATAGCTGAACGAAATACTTTATCTTCTAATATGAGCTGTGGAGATAATGATATATCATGATTTAAACGTAAACAAAGGGGCTTTCCTATTGGTTTTGAATCGTACAAATAATTATTTATTGGTGACTGAGATGATAACGGATTTGGTAATGAGTTATAGACTTTATTCAATTGAGGACGAACTATGTCGTGATTATCTATTTTACGATCAATATTCCATGTCATATTTTCAGATTGTAACATTTCGATAGATATTACGATCTACAACAACTCAAGATAAAATAAAAGTCTTTCATAATCAGGTATCAGCAATATTTATGTATAAACGACCCATTTGCATGGCAAAAATTTACTATAAACAAGTGTTTTTCATATAAAGAATATACTATTGCAGTTTGTAGAGTGGCAGTTTTCTCATACACAGCGAATTCACACTGAAAAGTCTGTTTTTTGAAACACACATATAAAAAACGAATGAGATTTAAAACAAAAAGGTCATGGAACTCTAAATTCTATCTGAAAACAATGAGGAAAAAACGTATTTTTAATTAAATGTTACTTTGCGCACGTAACAATAAAAAATCTAGTAATATCATGTTGAATTTTCGAAAAGTTGAATAAAACCAAAGTTTCTTAGTCATTCTAGCCTTTGACTTATTTTCTCTGTACTTCAATTCACATAGTATGTATCGAACAAAGAAACAGATACATAATTATGATAAAAAATAATGTTATATAAGCATAATCTCCTCTTCTATATTATCGTTCAAATTCAACTCAAGTGGAACGAGGATGAACTTGAACGTACATTTTTTGTGACGTTTTTAATTATTATGTATTCTGTATCTCTACTGGTGGTCCATCCCTCTCTCCCTGTGAAAATTAAATAAATTATATAAGTCAAGCCAGAAGCACTCAAATGCTACAGTACTACTGTAGATACTGGATTTAAATAGGGTAAGTGCATATTGGATGTACTGTTTGCATAATGAAATAGTAGGCTCGGTCATTTTTTGAATAATTTTGCGAATAAAAAGAAGTAGAACGTTTTTTGACAGTCAACAAAGGAGATCGACGCGCATCTTTTTTTGACTTATAAGACGATCTTCAAAGAATCAGTTTGGTTCTTCAATAATCAAAGTAGCAATAAAACGACCTTTTATCATAAACTGATAGGTAAAAAGTGTGCTCTCAAAAATGAAAGCTAAGCGAGATCTTTATTTTTAGTGATTCGACGTGGTTAGCACCCTAGAGCTGATATCAATGACTCATGATAACCTGAAAATTGCATGAAACATACCTAATCGATCATGCCGGATCTAATGACAATGTCTGCTTTTCAATAAAACTTCAGACAACCGATAAAAACTGAATTTGACGAAAGTTAGGACTATCTGGTTGTCTTCCTCTCAGAAAACAATAATTAATTACAACAATCATTATTCACTCAAGTAACGTTATAAATAACCTGAAAGCTTCAGAATATGATTATAGGATTAAAAAACAAACTAAAAAGAAATCCCATACCACTCTCGAGCCACTAAACGTAACAGTCTCGTTCGACTCATATTTTGTTATACAGTAGTAATATAACAGTACAAATTTACCTAATAGAATAGCCATAAAACTATTATCAACATCTGGTCTTATCTCATAAGTACTGTTCAACACTAGCTTCGTATACTAGGAAAAAACTTACTAAAAATGCTGAGATATGTGAAATGCCCATAACAAATCCTCTGTTATAATCATATATGTATATGTTTTTTTTTCTTTTACAAAAAACAAACAGAACAACAACATCCACAATAAGAATAATAACACCATAGATGAATAACGATAATTTTCACAAAAAAAAAGAAAAATGAACATAAAAACAACACGATAGACACATGTGCAACATCAAAAATAAACATCGACGAACTTAAAAGAAAAATATTCGTTTTTCTATTCGTTAAAACAAAAGTCGAAACAAATAGAGGCAAAAAAAAATTTCATAACACATTTTTGATAGATGTTAATATCATGTTCTAGAAGTAGATGAAGATGGCTGTTGTTGAGTATAATTTGTGCCAAATAAATTAAATCCTTGTCCATTGGTCATTGAATACTCACGTGATGACTAGAAAAAGAGATGAGAGAAATTCAAAATATGTGGTAAAATCAAAACAGGTCAATATTTATCTTACATTATTCGAATTGTTATTATTATTTGTGTTATTGCTATGACAGTAGGGTGGCACTGATGTTACAGGTATACCATTTGCATCGTAAATGTAACGTTGTTGTTGATGATGATAACCAGAAGATTGTGAGGATATATTTGACATGGCTAAATAATAGAACAAATGTGAATTATAAGATTAACAGAAGAAAAGGGATGTTGTTTGCGCACAAAAAAGTTACTTATCTACTTCTACCATTGCTGACTACAACAAAAAGATTTAATGTTTAATTTTTCTCGATAGAAGAGATCGATCGGTTTTTACATGATGTCTCTACTTTGAGCTTTACTTTATCCTTTGTGAAAATTTTCGCCAAAATCGTCAAAGGATGAAGTTTGAGACTTAAAGATGGCAAATGGCGTGGAAATGAAGGTTTTCCAACACTGTTGTATCTCCCTCCCATCTCCACTGGCAGACTCAAGCTCTTAAAATGTTAAAATATATATTCTTACAGTTTAAGCAGCAGCCAGATATATCTCTTACAGTATGGCAACTCTTAGAATAGTGGTGACATTATTAGTAGTGAAGAAGTTTTCATATTTTTGCTCCGAAAGACCAGCGCTGACAAACGTTTCTCACTTTATTGCTCTTTCATCTGAAACGCTTATTTTCTCTACAACTGTAGGATAGATATTGGGCTATGAAACTAACACTGTCGATACACTACATCGGTAGCCATAAGACGGGTATGCTTTTTCTTCCTTTCTATTATAAGCGAGTCGAAAAACAGGAATTTGGCGTCAAGTTTTAAAAACAATAGTTACAAAACTCGAATAGTTATAACGATAATCTAACTGACACTCACAGATGGAATACACATCATGTAAAAACCTGCCTAAAAAAAAATTGAGCAACGTACAAAGAGCATTAGATCTGTAAGTTGTTGATCGAGAACCGACAATAGAAATGTCATTTATAAATGCCAGTGTGCAAAAAAATAGAAATATAGATTGTAAGATGTAGATCACCTTTTTTATTTTGAAAATACACATATTTTCTTGAGATATTTCGTCTTTATTCAAAACAATATATGTATTTTCAAAATAAAAAAGGTGGTCTTCATCTTGTTATTATTTATGTTTAAATTGGTCACCTCAAACCACGAAGCAAAAGAAATAGAAATTCACTAGCTTTTCAATATGTCTTATACATTACTTTTATTAAGACTAAAACATTATACCTTCCCTATAAAAAAAACACTCCTAGAGGTCAAGATAAAACCGTAGATGATATGTTTTATTGTTTGTGAAAGAATATATACGGAAGTATTTAAACACAATTATTTAAATGTTTATACGATTTCTCATTTATAAGCGTAAGCAAAGAGAAATTTAAAAAAAAACGGTGAAATGCAATATCAATTGATTATCACCAACCATCATATTCGATATCTTGTCCCGACATATTTAAATTATTATTGATGTTACAATTTTGACTATATGGATTAGCATTGGGATGCATATTTGAGGAATTCATTGCTTGATCGACAGGCAATGCATTCCAATATTGTTCTGTTGGACTTTCATGATATTGACCCTAAACAATGGATCAAAAAAGAATTCATTAACATTTATTCATTTAATTATGTTAACATAATGCAACGTCTATAACTCTCTTTCCACTCTCATTTCTTTCCAGTAAAACTTTATGATCAGAATATGTGTAATGTTGTATTCGACATATATTTCACATACATAGACGCATGTGTTATACTGTTTGTATCGCTAATCAACAGAGAATCAAAAATAGATGAGACAGTATCCATAACATAAATCCAAGGAATATACTTGTGGTCAGTTATTTTGCTTATAACTAAAATCACAATTTGGATCAGAGTTATAAACAGAGCTAGACGAATACGATTACATACTCGTCCAGCTCTGATTACCAAGAAATGTTTGCTCTACACGCTCATATAAACTTTTCTAGTTTTAGAATTCAGCCTTGTTATGGTATCACTATTCTGCAACACGGATAACGCACAATAGAGGAAAAACACTTACAGGTGGTACTTGCAACGGTTGATTTGGATATCTGAAACAATAAACCAATATAATTAAACTAAATAAAATTTCCAGTAACATTTCTATCTTAATCTATCGAAGTCAAGCAGCCAGAGAATTGGGCGAAAAGTCGGAAGAAATGCAGAGAATTCATCTCTCAGCACGAAAATAAATTAAATTAAATAAATTAAATAAATTTTGTACGAAAATAGAAATTCGAACATGTAAACTTAGCTTTGCAGTTAACTGCAATACTAAATTTATTGTTCTGTATCTATATACTATACAACGATTGAAGTTGTGCAACTGACTCGATGTTCTCAGTAGTAATTTTTTTGCGTTCTGTTTCTCCCAGCACTTATCTAACAAAAATATATATTTTGTCTAATATTGAGTAAAAAAGATTTCATTTAGAACATTAGGCAAAATAGTGTTTCTGTACTCTCCCCAAACCATTCTAAAACTATACGCCCGACATACTATTAGCTACTTTTAAAATATTTACCTGAAATATGGATTTTTGAGATCAAGCGTATTTTCTGCTGATTGCGTTGTACCCTCTACTTGTAGAAATATTTCAACATCATAACTTTGTCTAAAATGTAAAAAAAACTGTAGTAAGAAAGTAGTTGTTCGAAAAAGAACCTGCGATACATACTTTCGATTTGAATGTAATGTAGCATGACCTTTAATTACTTGACCCTGATTAACCGTCAGTGGTTTCATAAACAAACATCGTACTTGATACCAGTGGGTTAGTGGTTGTGTAGGTGCTGTTGATAACCAAACTTGTGAACTAGATTAGACAGTATTAAAAAATATTTATTCGATAAAGTGTAGGCGAACAAACCTTGTTCCGTCAAATGCAACATCAAACCAGAATGCAAGACCATGTACAACAGCTGTTGTTGTCATTTGAAATGTTAATGGAATTTTAATTTTATATAAATCTTCTTCGCTTGCTGTTAAAAAATTAACGGTATGTTTAATTGGTCTCGATAAACATATTCTAACATCAAAATTATCGACAATTGGCTGTTTAAAATATTCGTCTAATGCTGCTTCACGCAGTGTTGTTAAATCGACGCCATAGAAAGATTGTTGATACCAAAAATTTGCTTTTGCAACTTGTTCCATATAAAGTGCTTCATCTGTAAATGGTGTAACATGTAAATCACCCAATGTCGGAAACATTTTTCCATTAGGTTTTAACCATTTTTTGGCATGTAAATAAGTCTCAAGCATACGCTCATTGAATAACATATAGCCCATTGGCTCAGATATAATAATATCAACTTGTTCTGGTAATTGAATTTCTTCAATTTTCCCTGGAATAACACTAATACAATTCGATAAATGATTATTATCAACTAACAACTAAAATGAGAAGGAAATACATACACACTAGTACATTTGAACTAAAACCAAGAGACTTACTTTAGCGTGTTGAGCCATTGAACTTGCTTCGACTGCATAAACTTTTTTCGCTCCACTTTGTGCCGCAAAAAAAGATAGGATACCTGAACCAGCACCAACATCGAGAACAACCTACAAATATAATTTGATAATCTTAGGCACAAAAAAGAAATATGCTTTTTTTCCATTCAACTCACTTTATCTGCAAAATCAATCGAATTATCTAGTATTGCTCGCTGATACGTTGATGTTCGAATATAATCCTGCATCATATTTTGTTGTTGAGATAAATAACCATAAAACTAGAAAACGCAAAAAATCCATCTAGTAAAATCGCTGTTAAACGAAATAGCTGTCAATTGTCTACTTGAAAATACTGCATTGCAGATGATTCCTCTGTCCGCTCATCAAATAAACATCCTTCGTCCTCTGTATCTCGTTTGCTAAGTCCAATATGCTTTGAAAATCCAGACAAATCTAAAGAGAAAAATAAGACATGTAGGTACTACTACGCAATGTTTTCGTCATCTCTTATACCATCTTCGTTAGAAAATTTGATTAAATATGACAGTTGTTTGGGAACACTCAAAATAATTCCTTTCGTGCCAACCCGAGCACATTCGACACTACCATCAAATGAAAGCGTTAGTACTGGGGTGTGACCTAAAAAGAAAAAATTTTCCTATAAAAAATTTAACTTAAAAAAAAATAATTACCTTCTTTAACATTGATTAGACGTGTATTATTATTTTCTTTTTTGATAGTTAAAATCGATGATGCTGGTGTTTTTGATTTTGTACTAATTGCGCCATTTTCATTTAACGAGAAAACTTCGACGCCATGATATTCGTACACGTGAGTTTTTGTATTGTTCATGTTTAATCAAACTGAGTATAATACATAAAATATGACGTTCGTTTCTCTTTAGTAGTGTCTTAGAACACGAATGTCATACTCAGAATACATTGTCGTAAATGAAAAAATATGTTCACTCGAGCGGTTAATAGAATTGTGAGAGGTTATTAATTATCAGGTAAATTATATTATGACCAGACAACGTAATATAGTGATTAGATCAACAAGAGACTGCATATATGAACCTAAACAAGCCACAAGAGGAAGCAACAAAGTCATCGATCCGTGGAGAAAGGAAATACACTGTTGGCCAATTTCTAGCCAAAAAGATTCAATAGACAAAACCCTCAATGAGACTTCTCTTTCGAACAAGCTTCAAAAAACATTCTGACATGTTTTTTGAGATTGTGGAGTGTAACTTTCACTTATTTTAACACGAAATAGCGATAATTGATAATGGCGCTACCATCGACTGTGAAGTTATTTGAATTCTACTGTATAAGGGTTCAGACCTTAAATGTTACTATATAGTATTCTTAAAAAATTTCTTGGGTAGTTTTACAGATTGCATTCAGAACCAAAATTGCACTAGTGCAGAGTTTTTATCAAGAATACTTAGTTCCTCTATCTCGAATCCTAATCAAAATGGACGCTTCAAAATAGTCGATAGAATGGAACAAAGAATATTTAAAAGTTAAATGAAATAATATATAAACTATAGATACAGACATCTCTTTTAGCATTTTCCATTTCTTAAGATTTTGCAATTTTTTATCCTCTTTTGAAGGAATCATACACGACGATTGTTTTAAGTATATATTCATATTGTTAGTGGACAGTCACTAACGTTTCACTTCAGTACTCATTTACGTTGAGATTAACAATAATAGTTTGTTTAAGAGAATATTCTGTCAGATTCTGTAAGATCGCAACCGTGAGTAAAAAATAAGTTTCAGAAATCAATCTACTTTTTTTCCGTATTAAAATCAAAGAAAACTGCGAAAAGTGTAATTCTTACGCAATACTGAGAACGAGTACAGAAATTCGGAACAAGTTCGCCGAACAGGATAAGGCTTCTGAGCGCGTTAGATTTTTAGTGAATGAGAACTTATTGTTCGGTTTGTTTCTTTGCTATATTAGATTTCGACTGTATTTTTCTTTCGAACCAGCAACCCAGGTTGAACAATCGTATGAAATCTTACGAAAATCTGATGCACCTTATGAAATCTTACAAAAATCTGATGCATCTTAGGAATCTTACAATATGATCATAGAAACTGTCTCATCTTGTGAAAATCATACAAGGATGTCACGAAATTTTACATCAAGAATCAGTTTCTATGTTTCTTACAGAATCTTACGAACTCTCGTAAGAACCTTACGAATTCAGATGAGAATCTTATAAGATCTTTCAGTAAGATTTTTCGACCTGAGAATATTTAAATGTGAGTGTTCGTTTGAAAATTTCAGGATTCATAGCTAAGGCGTACAGTATCACGATCGAAGATCCTCTTTTGCTTTCCTGTTGTTGACTCTCCTACTCCTATCGTTTGAATAAATGTTTAGGCTCCCTTTATCTCTAATATATTGGGTATAATCTTGCATTTAGATTCAGAGTTTTGTTGCTACTTTATATTCTATAAACAAACATTATGGATCCGTTGTATCCAGGACAACCTCAATTTATTCTTGTTAACCAAGTTCCAATTCAACCAGGAACGATAATCAATAATGTCCCAGTGATGCCAATAATGAATCCATCACCGTTTCCTGTTAATGTTCAACAAGTCTATGTTCAACAACAACAGCCACCACCACCTCCTGCGCAAATGCATGCTCAGCAAATTCAGCAACAACAAAGACAACTTCAACAATCACAAATAACGTCAACGATACCAGAGTATATGAACGAAGATCGTTTACAAGAAAAAGCTCGACGCTGGCAACAACTACAGTCAAAGCGTTATGCCGATAAACGGCGATTTAATTTTAGTGATATTCAAAAAGAAGATATGCCCGCTGAACATATTCGTAAAATTATACGCGATCACGGTGATATGACAAATAGAAAGTTTCGACATGACAAACGTGTTTATTTGGGTATGTCCACTGACTTGCATCTATTGTTAAAATAAACAAAAATTTACTTTGTTTTTGTAGGTGCTTTAAAATACATGCCACACGCTGTACTCAAATTATTAGAAAATATGCCAATGCCATGGGAACAAATACGTAATGTTAAGGTTATTTATCATATCACAGGTGCAATCACGTTTGTGAATGAAATTCCATGGGTTATTGAGCCCGTTTACATAGCACAATGGGGTACCATGTGGATTATGATGAGAAGAGAAAAACGTGATCGACGTCATTTTAAACGAATGAGATTTCCACCATTTGATGACGAAGAGGTAAATGAAGAGTAAACAACATCTAATGAAAATGTTTCATTAATGTGTTTCGTTTTTTCTTATAGCCTCCATTGGATTATGCCGACAATATTCTCGACGTTGAACCATTAGAAGCTATCCAGTTACAAATGGATCCAGAAGAAGATAAAGCAATTTTTGATTGGTTTTATGAACATAAACCATTGACAGAAACGAAGTAAGTGTTGAAATCGTCCATGTTCTACTTGTTAAATGACTTTTGCGTTGAAAGATTGTACACGATACTTATTTGCACACATCGAATTATAGTCTCTTTGACTTTTATTTAGATTCGTTAATGGTTCTTCGTATCGTCGATGGCAGTTGAGTTTGCCCATATTATCAACGCTATATCGAATGGGTAATCAACTATTAACTGATCTGGTTGATGAAAATTATTTTTATTTGTTCGATTTAAAGTCATTTTTTACCGCCAAAGCATTGAATGTTGCCATACCGGGCGGTCCGAAATTCGAACCACTTGTCAAAGATATTAATCCAAAGTAAGATTTCTTATACATGTGACATAAGATCGCCTACTTCGGGATCTATCTACGATCGAACGACTGCACATCCTTGTGTTATATTATGGATGAATCATCAGTGGCATAGCCAAGGGAGGGCTTAGGGGGCACAGATCCCTACCTTAGAAAGTTAACTTGTATTGGAAAGAATAGAATAAAATATCAGCTATCAGCGACATGTGTTTGTTTAGTCTTCTTTTACTCTAATCCTTCCTGAAAAAATGTTGGGCTCCTCCCTTAAAAAAATCCTGGCTGTGCCACTGTGAATCACGCCGTTAGGTGAATGAATAGAACATTGCATTATAAACTTGAGGTTCTTTTACAAAAAAATATTAAATTTATTTACGCTTTTTCTAGTGATGAAGATTGGAATGAATTTAATGATATAAATAAAATAATTATTCGTCAACCAATTCGAACAGAATATCGTATTGCATTCCCCTATTTGTATAATAGTTATCCATTTAAAGTTTATTTGGCATGGTATCATACACCAAATGTTGTATTTATAAAAACGGAAGATCCTGATTTACCAGCATTTTATTTTGATCCGTTAATAAATCCGATAGCTCATCGTCATTCAGTTAAATCTGTTGATCCACAAATTATACTTGAAGAAGATAATGCTGAATTTGAATTACCAGCTGAATTTGAACCACTTTTATTTGGCACACCATTATATACGGATAATTCAGCAAACGGTATTGCCCTATTGTGGGCACCACGTCCATTTAATTTACGTTCTGGTCGTACACGTCGTGCATTAGATATTCCATTAGTTAAATCATGGTATCGTGAACATTGTCCAAGTGAACATCCGGTTAAGGTTCGTGTATCATATCAAAAATTATTAAAATGTTATGTTTTAAATGCATTACATCATCGTCGTCCAAAACCACAGAAAAAACGTTATTTATTTCGTTCATTTAAATCGACAAAATTTTTTCAATCAACTACATTAGATTGGGTTGAAGTTGGTTTACAAGTGTGTCGTCAAGGTTACAATATGTTAAATTTATTGATACATCGTAAAAATTTAAATTATTTACATTTGGATTATAATTTTAATTTGAAACCGGTCAAAACTCTAACAACGAAAGAACGTAAAAAATCACGTTTTGGTAATGCATTTCACTTATGCCGTGAAATATTACGTTTGACGAAATTAATTGTTGATAGTCATGTGCAATATCGTTTGGGTAATGTTGATGCATTTCAGTTGGCTGATGGTTTACAATATATATTTGCGCATGTTGGTCAATTAACGGGCATGTATCGTTATAAATATAAATTGATGAGACAAATTCGAATGTGTAAAGATTTAAAACATTTGATTTATTATCGATTTAATACGGGATCAGTAGGAAAAGGTCCAGGATGTGGTATTTGGGCAGCAGGTTGGAGAATATGGTTGTTTTTCTTACGTGGTGTTACACCCTTATTAGAAAGATGGTTAGGTAATTTGTTATCGAGACAATTTGAGGGACGACATTCAAAGGGAATTGCCAAAACAGTGACGAAACAACGTGTTGAATCACATTATGATCTTGAATTACGTGCAGCTGTTATGCATGATATATTAGATATGATGCCAGAAAGCATTAAACAAAACAAAGCGAGAACAATTTTACAACATTTAAGTGAAGCCTGGAGATGTTGGTAAGAATATTATTGTCTTTTGTCTTTTACTGCCTGTCTTGATTGATTTTACAAGTCTTTCATGCTATATACTAGTAGAAATTTGAAAGAAATGGTAGAAAGTAGATTTAGTAGCCCTCAATAGTTGAAAAAAGGCGTGGCTTTGTTTAATCCCTTGTTTGACAGTAGTTTTTCTATATAAATACATTTTTTATTAAGTAATTATATTTCTATTTGTCTAGGAAAGCAAATATTCCATGGAAAGTACCGGGTTTACCAATTCCCATTGAAAATATGATATTACGTTATGTTAAAGCAAAAGCTGACTGGTGGACATCAACAGCTCATTATAATCGTGAGCGTATTCGTCGTGGTGCGACAGTAGATAAAACCGTATGTAAGAAGAATCTTGGCCGTTTAACACGTTTATATTTGAAATCAGAACAAGAACGTCAACATAATTATCTGAAAGATGGTCCTTATATCACAGCTGAAGAAGCAGTAGCCGTCTATACAACTGTTGTACATTGGTTAGAAAGTCGGCGCTTTTCTCCAATACCTTTTCCACCATTAGCTTATAAACACGATACAAAATTGTTAATATTAGCATTAGAACGTCTTAAAGAAGCCTATAGTGTTAAATCACGTTTAAATCAATCTCAACGTGAAGAATTAGGTTTAATTGAACAAGCATATGATAATCCACATGAAGCTTTATCTCGAATAAAACGTCATTTATTAACTCAACGTGCGTTTAAAGAGGTTGGAATTGAATTTATGGATTTATATAGTCATTTGATACCGGTGTATGATGTTGAACCGTTAGAAAAAATAACGGATGCCTATTTAGATCAATATTTATGGTATGAAGCAGATAAACGACGATTATTTCCAGCTTGGGTTAAACCAGCAGATAGTGAACCACCACCATTACTTTGTTATAAATGGTGTCAAGGTTAGTTAATAATTGTCTTGGTTTTTTATTTTATTTTTTCCTGTGTTTATTTTTTTAGGTGTAAATAATCTGCAAGATATTTGGGATACAAACGAAGGTGAATGTGACGTAATATTGGAATCACGTTTTGAAAAATTATATGAAAAAATTGATTTAACATTATTGAATCGTTTATTGCGTTTAATTGTTGATCATAATATTGCTGATTACATGACAGCTAAAAACAATATTGTTTTAAATTATAAAGATATGAATCATGTTAATTCATATGGTATTATTCGTGGTTTACAATTTGCATCATTTATTGTACAATATTACGGTCTTGTATTAGATTTACTTGTACTTGGCTTACAACGAGCATCAGATATGGCCGGTTTACCACAAACACCAAACGACTTTTTAACATTTCAGGAAGTAGCTGTTGAAACATCACATCCGATTCGATTATTTTGCCGTTATATTGATAGAATACATATATTTTTCAGGTAAAAAACATTAATTTATTTGACCACTTTATCTTTAAACCTATGTGAATGAGATATGAAATTTATATATTCTTTGTTGTATTAAGAAGACTCTTGCTCTATACAATTGAACGAAACTATTTCAATTGTTTTTCTTCATTTAGATTTTCTGCTGAAGAAGCGCGTGATTTAATTCAACGTTATTTAACTGAACATCCCGATCCAAATAATGAAAATATTGTTGGCTATAATAATAAAAAATGTTGGCCACGTGATGCACGTATGCGTTTAATGAAACATGATGTTAATTTGGGTCGTGCAGTATTTTGGGATATTAAAAATCGTTTACCACGTTCAATAACCACTATACAATGGGAAAATAGTTTCGTTAGTGTATATAGTAAAGATAATCCAAATTTATTATTTAATATGTGTGGTTTTGAATGTCGAATATTACCAAAAGTTCGTATGACACACGAAGAATTTGCACATAAAGATGGTGTATGGAATTTACAAAATGAAACAACAAAAGAACGTACAGCACAGTGTTTTTTGAGAGTTGATGATGAATCAATGTCACGTTTTCATAATCGTGTCAGACAAATTTTAATGGCATCCGGTTCCACAACGTTTACAAAAATTGTTAATAAATGGAATACGGCCCTTATTGGTCTAATGACATATTTTCGGGAAGCTGTTGTTAACACTCAAGAACTATTGGATTTATTAGTGAAATGTGAAAATAAAATTCAAACACGTATTAAAATTGGTTTGAATTCAAAAATGCCCAGTCGTTTTCCACCAGTGGTTTTTTATACACCAAAAGAATTAGGTGGACTTGGAATGTTATCAATGGGCCATGTTCTTATTCCACAATCGGATTTAAGATGGTCAAAACAAACCGATGTTGGCATTACACATTTTCGTAGTGGTATGAGTCATGATGAAGATCAATTGATACCAAATCTTTATCGATATGTTATGCCGTGGGAATCCGAATTTATCGATTCACAACGTGTATGGGCTGAATATGCATTGAAAAGACAAGAAGCAAATACACAAAACAAGTAAGTCTCGCAGACAAATAGGACAATAATAATAATAATTTAGCAAAATGCAAAATAGGATTCTTAAGCATTTATTCTAAGCAGCTAACAATGAGATAAAACAAGAGTTCTATCAATTCGTTAATCTGAGAATTGTAAATACATCATATTTTCTTCTTTTGACAGTTATCTCTGTCTAATTTTAGACGTTTGACATTGGAGGATCTTGAAGATTCATGGGATCGTGGTATACCACGAATAAATACATTGTTTCAAAAAGATCGTCACGTTTTGGCTTATGATAAAGGATGGCGTGTACGAACTGATTTCAAACAATATCAAGTATGTGAACATATCTGCTCACTTTTAAAAGCACATCTGATTATTTTTATCTTTTTCAGATTCTGAAACAAAATCCGTTCTGGTGGACACATCAAAGGTCTGTATCCTGTTAATTTTATTGTTAGTTAGTCAAATTAGTTTCATGTTTGTGTTCTTTTTTTCTTCTAGACATGATGGTAAATTGTGGAATTTGAACAACTATCGTACAGATATGATCCAAGCATTAGGTGGTGTTGAAGGCATTTTGGAACATACGTTATTCAAAGGTAATAAAGTTTTTTTCTTTTTTATACTTGTGTTTCTGATATCTATTAGTCAAATTTTACATTGGATATACGTTAAATCAAATTGTCTAATTACATTTATTGAAAAAATGTCATAAATTTTAGGAACATATTTTCCAACGTGGGAAGGCTTGTTTTGGGAAAAAGCTAGTGGTTTTGAAGAATCTATGAGATGGAAAAAGTTGACAAATGCTCAACGAAGTGGATTAAATCAAATACCTAATCGACGTTTTACATTATGGTGGTCTCCAACAATTAATCGTGCAAATGTTTATGTTGGATTTCAAGTGCAATTAGATTTAACCGGCATATTTATGCATGGTAAAATTCCAACATTAAAAATCTCATTAATTCAAATATTTAGAGCACATTTATGGCAAAAAATACACGAAAGTGTTGTTATGGATCTGTGGTACGTATATTTGCGTTTTCTTCTTTTAAACACATCATTTTTCTTGCTTCAGTCGATCGGTTCCTACTATAATGTGTAAACTTTTTTTTTAGTCAAGTATTTGATCAAGAGTTAGATGCTTTGGAAATTGAAACGGTTCAAAAAGAAACAATTCATCCAAGAAAATCGTACAAAATGAATTCATCCTGTGCAGGTAATAAAAAGATGATAAAATATGTAACCTAAATTTTTAACCAATTTCTTTTTAATTCATTTTAGATATTTTACTATTTGCTGCCTATAAATGGAACGTTAGTAAACCGTCATTATTGGCTGATTCAAAAGATGTTATGGACAATAGTACCACACAAAAATTTTGGCTCGATGTTCAATTACGTTGGGGTGATTATGATTCACATGATATTGAACGTTATGCACGTGCAAAATTTCTGGATTATACAACAGATAATATGTCTATTTATCCATCACCAACTGGTGTCATGATTGCACTCGATTTAGCCTATAATTTACATAGTGCATTTGGTAAGTTTCCGTTTATCAAGTGTTGTCAACCAAACTTAACTTCGGAAAACATATTAGCTCAATTTTCTTGTCTTATTGTTACAGTATCTACATACATCTTTGTCATATACTGTTTCTGTTTACGGACTAGATAGTAAAAGACAACACAATAGCAAAGATCTACGTCTTGTTAGACATTTATTTTATTTTCCTTGAATGTTAGCATACGCTTGTATTTGTTTTAGGTAATTGGTTTCCTGGTTGTAAACCGTTGATTCAACAAGCAATGGCTAAAATAATGAAAGCAAATCCAGCCTTGTATGTTTTACGTGAACGTATTCGCAAAGGTTTACAGTTATATTCTTCAGAGCCCACTGAACCTTATTTATCATCACAAAACTATGGTGAATTATTTTCAAATCAAATAATATGGTTTGTTGATGATACAAATGTTTATCGTGTCACAATTCATAAAACATACGAAGGTAATTTAACAACAAAACCTATTAATGGTGCCATATTTATATTTAACCCACGTACTGGACAATTATTTTTGAAAATAATTCATACATCTGTATGGGCTGGACAAAAACGTCTTGGACAACTGGCCAAATGGAAAACAGCTGAAGAAGTAGCTGCATTAATTCGTTCTCTACCCGTTGAAGAACAACCAAAACAAATTATTGTTACACGTAAAGGAATGTTAGATCCATTAGAAGTTCATTTATTAGATTTTCCAAATATTGTAATAAAGGGTAGTGAATTACAATTACCATTTCAAGCATGTTTAAAAGTTGAAAAATTTGGTGATTTAATATTAAAAGCTACTGAACCACAAATGGTCATGTTTAATTTATACGATGATTGGTTAAAATCTATTTCATCATACACAGCATTTAGTCGTTTGATATTAATATTAAAATCGTTACATGTTAATAATGATCGAGCAAAAATGATTTTAAAACCGGATAAAACAACTGTCACGGAAATACATCATATATGGCCAACATTAACAAATGATGAATGGATCAAAATTGAAGTAGCCTTGAAAGATCTCATATTAGCCGATTATGGTAAAAAGAATAACGTTAATGTTGCATCGTTAACACAATCAGAAATTCGAGATATTATATTGGGTATGGAAATTAGTGCACCATCAGCACAACGACAACAAATAGCTGAAATTGAAAAACAAACAAAAGATCAATCACAATTGACAGCGACAACAACGAGAACAGTGAATAAACATGGTGATGAAATAATTACGTCAACCACATCGAACTATGAAACACAAACATTTGCATCGAAAACAGAATGGCGAGTTCGAGCAATATCAGCAACAAACTTACATTTGAGAACAAATCATATTTATGTATCATCAGATGATATCAAAGAAACTGGATATAGATATATCTTGCCAAAAAATATATTAAAAAAATTTATTGTCATATCCGATTTACGAACACAGGTAAATTTCATAAATTTTCTTTTTTAGCATTGATAGATAGTAGAGCTATATAATAAAATTTGTCTTTCTATTGTTTAGATTGCTGGTTATTTATATGGCGTTAGTCCGCCAGATAATCCACAAGTAAAAGAAATCCGTTGTGTTATATTACCTCCACAATGGGGTACACATCAAACAGTTCATTTACCAAATATTCTTCCGCAGCATGAATATTTAAAGGTAACAGACACGTTATTTTTGTTGATTTTAACTAATATACACTTTTTTTTCTTCTTTTCTTTAGGAAATGGAACCCTTAGGCTGGATTCATACACAACCAAACGAATTACCTCAACTTTCACCACAAGATATTACTACACATGCTAAAGTAATGAATGATCATGCTAGTTGGGATGGTGAAAAAACAATCATTATAACCTGTTCATTTACACCTGGTTCGGTATCATTGACCGCATATAAATTAACACCAAGTGGCTTTGAATGGGGAAGACTAAACACTGATCGTGGAAATAATCCAAAAGGTTCGATTATCTTTTTTTTTATTATTAAACAGCGTCTCTCCTATAATTTAGTGATCTTATTTTCGTCTTGATTTCAGGTTATTTGCCGTCACATTATGAAAAAGTTCAAATGTTATTGTCTGATCGTTTTCTTGGCTTTTTTATGGTTCCCGGTCAAGCATCATGGAATTATAATTTTATGGTACGTATACATAATTGAATTTTCATTTTATTTTTAACTAATATTAAATTTCTTTGTATGTTTTAGGGTGTTCGACATGATGCAAATATGAAATATGATTTAATGTTAGCTAATCCAAAAGAATTTTATCATGAAATTCATCGTCCGTCTCATTTTCTTTATTTTGCTACTACTGAAGATAACGATGCGTTTATAGCAGATCGTGAAGATAAATTTACTTGATGGCATTATGAACTCTTTCTCTTTTTATGTACATTGAATATCGATGTCTATCTGGTTCACTCCTATTCTATTGGTTTTCTCTTGTTTAAATTGAATTATTTGTACGGGTTTATGCTTTTAAGAATGAGTGAACACCATTTTTTTAACACCTATCTGTAATTGTGTTTTTTTTGTGTTATTATAGTCAAATATGTCTAACATAATTCCTGCATGCCCCTTTTTTTATTTCTTCTACGAAGAATAAATTATCAAAAATTCATCAGCAATGGAGAATGTCTGTGTCGATTTGTCAGTACAATTAACAAGATTTCAGTAGGTTAATTAGCCGTAACACATTAGGTAGAAAACGTTATTGAAAAGTAAATGTTACCACTGCCTATAAGTTGTGTTTCCAGGTATGGGAAACATGAGATCACATCATCCTAAATTTTAACACTGTTCGTTCAGTTGGTGTTCATTTGTCGAACCTTTTTATGGGTACGACAAATGACGCGATTATCTTGCAATTAATTGACCTAACAAAATATAAGAGATTGAAAGCTATTATTAGCAACAAGTTAAGGACACTCACGGTAGACGGTCTTTTAAATTTCGATTGTCTATATACGTAAATGTTTCACGTCTTTAAAAAGATTGGCTGTTAGAAAAATCCTGCCACGCTGACTAAAAACAATCGAAAACTCTGACCGATGGCATGGCATACATTTAAATTCTTAAAAATGTTTATCAACATCAAAAGCAACTGATCAACTGTCGTTACTAAAAAGTTTGCAACTCGATAACAGCCAATTTTATTTGAAATTCTAAGTTATCATCAGAAATTTTTGGATTAGTCAACTGAAAAGGTTTTCAACTTTTTCCGACAGTCATTTTATCATGAAGCCACCATTATCAGCAATTCTAATAATTCTGCACTTATTGCGATATCGAAAACATTCAATAATTTAGTCAAAGTGTCAAGCTTCGTATGTATTGAGATCTTAGAAAACAAGCTGATTTTTTAGTACAGAACGTTAAATTCTAGCTCCATTTGTTTCAATCAATTTAATTAATATCACCGACGAACTATGGGAGTAAGGTTGAATTGAAAAGAATTTTTGTTTTTGTATCATTTGTTCTTTGGTAATTATTGTTAACATCGTCCTCCAAAAAAAATGAAAATGATTTATTTCATTCATCAATATTTATGTTTCACGAATAATTAATTTAAAGTAAATCTATAGTACTAGCAACAAAAATTGATCTCTCTAAACATTGTTATCTTACATAGCTCTAGATCTAAAATATTACTAATAATTCCCTTAATTTATCCTGAAATCGTTTAAAAAGAAAATCTGTAAAAATTCACAATAATAATAAATCGGTTGAATAAGTTCAATTAGATTAGACCTACGATCGGTCAGCACAGTACCAGTTCGGCTTCAAGTCTATCTCTACATCTAATAGCTGTAGAATGTGCATTTTAAATAAATTTTAAACTAGTAGATTTATATCCAGATTTAGATATAAGGACAATTTTATCATGTTAAGATGAAGCGGAATTTTGTTTTCTTCCTTATTTTATACCTTGTTTTGGATTATCTTTCTTGGACTTGTCGCGTGGTTTGTTTTGCCCATTTGGATTTACAATTAATACAAAAAATATGGATGTGATAAAAGATAGAAAAAATCTTGAATATTCTTTTCAAATTACAACATAATATGACAAAATTCACAAAAGAAAATGATTTTGACAAACGATGAAAGTTTCAAAAACAAAGATTGTTTGCGAGAATGGTAAAAAATGTTGTACTTATCTTCAAATGAGATATTCTCGCTTCGAATTATACGTTGAATATTTTAGAACTTTGTTGTACAATCCTTGAAATGAAATGCTAATGTATGTTGTCTTATTTTAGATAGAGATGATCACCATTTCATTTTTCTTCTTTACATGTACACAGGTAATTCATATATGAACGATGCTTGAAGTAATAAAGATGCCACTTATATAATGAGTAAACATTTTGATATGCAATCAGAACAGTTAACTAATGAGTTAACAAAAGTTGTGCTTTTTGTGTAATCTTCATATGAACTGACTGTTCAATAACATTTGTGTAATCTGTGTTTCAGGACCAATTTCTATTCATACGGGATAAATTATGTAAATTAGTTGTTCTGTATTGACCGTAACAAAATAAGTCAGTTCGGAATTCGAATGATGACTTTTTTTTTTGACAAGAAGAGTTGTTAATTATTATTCGTGTTCAGATGGCGAGTTGCGCTCGAATTTTAAAAGAAAAAAAAATACAACGCTCATAGCGCATGATCTGTGTGTACATAAAAAAGAACAAAAATACGGACCAACGTGTCTTTTAATTTTTCTTTACAACGAAGATATAAACAAACCACTTGCTATTTATATTCTCAAGGAACGAATCCATGCCCCATGATGTCTGATGCTATGCAACTCGAAAACAGAAAACGAAAAGTGTGAAAAACAGAAAATAATAACTTGCTTTTTTTTTCCTGCAAAATACAAGACGATACACAAAAATAAAATCATAGGACAAAAACAAACACAAAAATTACGTTGGTTTTAACATTGTTTAAATTCATTCAAGAAAAAGAACTGAAATAGCGTATGTGTTGATGGTTAACGAACAAGAAAAAGAAAGATTAGTTTATCGAGCGATAAAAGAGAAAATTTATTGTTGCTTCATCCATTTATATTGCATTCACTTCTATTGAGATAATAAACGTTCGATTGCCGCATTAATATCGCCCATAGTAGCAACCAAAGCTAAAACAAATAAAAGTATAAATAATGATGACTGACATAGTAATGACAACCTCTTTCTAAATAATGAATAAACAACAGGTACCTTGTAAATTGGCTTCTCTGTTTGTAAAACCCATTGAAACTAATTGATCAAGTTGAACAGCAAATCTTTGTTCTGGTGCTGTATTCTAAAATAAATTAAACATTCAAAATTAATAAATTTTCAATTAGTCAGATATGAAAGGATCGATTTTATGAGAGAACAAATTCAGATATCAAGATTGACCGGCTTGTCGCACGATAGTCTGAGAAAGTACTGTCATTTTAACAAAACGACAGCATGATTTAACGGTTATGTTATTTATTTTCACATGCTTTACTGGTACTCACCGTCCAGTTAGTTCTGTTCATGTGTCTGATATTACTCACCCGATAGCATATCGTAACATGCAACACAGGCTTGCCAGAAAGCTAGTATATGGATAGTAAGTGTGGTCAACCAATTCTACATTAGTCCAGCCGTCCAGATAGCGTATTCACGTATATGATTTAGAATGAAGGACTAGAAAGAAGTTTCTTATTCTGTAGGTTTCGCCGATAGAAAAAACATAAACGTATCCAATTTCTCTGCTACAATCTTCGGCACGAGCAGAAGAAAAATACATACGATTGTCTGATTTGACATCATTTGTAACATTTGGGCGAATACTCCAGCATAATTGCTTGGATCACTAGAGGGTGGTGTAGCTGCTGATGATGATGTCGCAGACTGCGAGGAAGATTGTGGTGGCTGTGTTGGCGCTTGTGTAGTAGATGACGTATTTGTAGACGGCGTCCCTAAACCTGTAGCTCCTAAACGTAATCCAGCTGGTAATCCACCGCTGAAAAAAAAGAAAAAGACTACTTAGAAATTAGAAAGTCTTTTTAATTAAAACTTACGCTTGAAAAAGACCAGGCGCAGCTGTATGTAAACGTTGTAAACCTTAAAAAAGCATGAAAAATTTATTCTAACTGTAATACAAAATCATTTTTTCTCAATGTATACCTTCCTGCACTTGAACGATAGCTTCAAGAGCTTCACGATTTTGCATTAGATTCTGCACCTCGGGGTTATGCATTTGTTCCATCATCGCGGGTAATGCATTTAGCATTTGTTCACGCATCTCTGGATTATTAGCAAACATGGGATTATTCAAAATCATTTGTCGAGAAACATCTGGATTAGCTGCCAATGATTCCATCAAAGGTTGCATATACGGTGCATTCAAAACACTCTCAAGTAGACGAGGATTTTGAACTAATTGTGAAAAATAGTTTTGCATCGTTGGATTCGTTAAACCGCCTGTAGCATCAGTTGGAATAGCACTACTGTTTGTTCCAGCTGTTGGCCGAGTTGGTCCACCACCAGTAGGTGATTGTATTGGAGCAGCTGTCGACGATGATGGTGCAGTTTGACGATTGGCACCAGCTGATGCCGCTGCACCAGAGCGAGATGCCCACGGATTCGGTAGTGGATCAGTACTTTCTGTTCCTGACCTTGTGTTGGAATTATCTAAATTATTAAGCTAAACTGAATATAACGAACGTTTAAATGAATGACTTAATACCTCCATTTCCAGCTAATAATTGAGCGAATGGATTATTGCCAAATTGTTCTTGGGCTGCTGAATACATTGGTTCTTGTACATCATGATATATACGTTGAAGAGCATTGAAACCGCCCGGAATACTCTAAATTTTTGAAAAGAAACAGTCCAAAATCTCGCATTTCATCATTTAATTTAAACAAAAACAATACTTGAGTTAAATTTTAACACTCAAGCTCAGAGCCACTATTAAATATTCTGATAGAGTTCACGTGATTGCACGGTTCAAGCACAAGAAAATAAACTTTTGTAGTACAGATAAAGTGTCACCCATTTCTAACTTACTTCTAAATTGCTTAATGCACGATCATGATTTCGCATAAGTTCTTGTAATGCTGTTGGATTACGAGCAAATTCCATTGTTTGACGTAACAAATCCGGATTATTTAATAGATGAGAAATTTCGGGATTACGCTAGAAATAAATGATATAGAACAACAAAATTATGTTGTCAGTAAATATTTAAAAAAGAATCACTTACATCCATTAAATCACGTATTTGTGGATTACTGAGAAGTAGTGAACGTAATAAATCGGGATTACTTGTGATACTTTGAACAACGGGACTATTCATCAGTCTTCTCATTGCTTGAGGATTATTCATCATCTGCAGTAAAAAGCAGCGATTCTAGCTTTGTTAGAACATTTCTAATGATCTTACGTCTTGTTGAAGCCTTTGCTGTACATCGAGAAAATTAGCATTGGCAAAATTTAAATTTCCCAAACCTCCAGTTCCTCCGCTATTAAATCCAAATGGAAAGTCGTTTAAATTTGCTGCTCCCGTGTTTGATGCCGAGGTATTTCCGGTGGCAGCTGATGTTGCTGTTGACGTAGATGATGCAGAGGGCTAAAAATCAAAATCCCATATTGATCTGACGTTGAAGAAATGTAGACTCAAACCTGTTGGCCTGTCGCTGCCGAAGGAGCATCCTTAGGAGCACGAATCACCAAATGAACAGTAACACCATCTTTAATATCTACAAGAGAAAGACGAAATGAGTAGAACGAAAATATCGAAAGAAAGTGATATTACCATGCTTCTTTAAATCTTCATCATCTTTTAAAATTTTTCCAGAATAAATAAGACAAATTTGCTCGACCAAAGTACCAAATTCACGAGCAACAAGTTCTTTTAACTGAAACAAAATATAATTTGCGTTAGTTCCATGCTATTTTCTAAAACACGTATGCAAAGCAAACCTCTTTAATATTTGACGACGATGCAATTGTTATATCTTTTTTATCTTTTGGTGTTTTAATTGCAATTCTTAACATAGACTGTTGACTGCTATCAGATGATCGTTGAGAGGACTGTTGATCAGCTGCATCAGACGATGTTCCAAGATCCATATGTTCATTATCACTCATGATTGGGCTTAGCAACAATACAGACACAGAAAAAGTGATATAGATTATAGAAGAGCGGAAATAGAAGTGACAGAGAAGTTTTAGAAAACAGCAAAAAATTATAGAAACAAAGAGAATCTGAAATAAATAAAGCGCAGATTTGAAAGAAAATACTTCTAAATCATCGTATATTCAACATTTCTTTTCTACTCGATGGAACTACCAGTCTCAGACATCGCAATCAATTTTTTTAACGGATGTACACCAAAGGAGAGAAATTTACACGAATATGTGTATCGTCAAGAGTTCATGAGCGTTTTTGCTTAACAGAGTCACGCTCTCAATTTTAAGGAATTTTACGCTCATAAAAACCGGAGGTAAGTGACTTGCGAAAAAAAGGAGACGGATGTTTCACTTCCTTGAATGAAAGAATACGATACGTATGGAGAAAACAATACTGTTACACTTTATGAGTTTCATTCGTACGTGTACAGCACTGGAAGCTGCATAAAGTACATCTCTTTATGCATAAATAAGTCGAATTTGCTTTAGGAGTGAATTGGTGTTGTTTGCACTTAAAATCTTTCCTTATTTCGTTTTTATGAATGAATGAATTTTTACAAAAGAGATGTGTGTGTTTGTCCTCAAAACATGGAAAAATGGTCGTCAGATATTTCCCGGATGAGCCAATCATAAGACAGGATTATTTTAAATATTTCGAGGTTATACACAAGACAACTAAGAGAGCATCAGACGTCACGCAAGATACGTTTAATTTACCAGAATCGAATGAGAAAAGGTGAATGCAAGAGAGGACGCTACGATACGGCGTGAAGCATTCTGAAAACGAAAAACTTGTCTCAAATAAGTGAAAACTGTTAGAGTCGAATAATCATGAATTACACCTAAACAGATATTTAGCCATTAAGCATCTATGAGCAGTACTCCTAGAAGGCTGAGGATTTCCAGAAAACCTTCGAATCTGTTCGATGTGTGATTCGGCGAGTGAAAGTTGTGTTGTCCTCAGACAAAACCAGTAGAACACTGATCTCCCGTAGGACTTCAAAGAACTTTTAGACTGCTGAGTCCAATAAAGCTTTGAGATATTCACACCTGATTTAAAGTAACCTGTTGATGCGTACTAAATGCCTGGAGTATTGTTCTAGTGTGTTGAGTGACGGTCAACAATTTTTTTACGAGGGTCGACCGAAGGGAGGCGAGAGCTTATTTCGTACTTGTGAAAGAAAAATGTTAAATAACAGATTGATGTAGTCATGAGTGTAGCCTTGTGCAGCGTAAGTCAACGGAGCGGGCGAATCGTAGAAGAGCGCGTTACGTAGTAGTATAATATTCATATAGTATTATAATAATAATGATTAATTTACGATTGACATGACGGGACATCCGGAAACTTCACTATGATGTAGACATATGATTGGTTCTGGTGCTCCGATATGATTCTGAGAAATAATTAAACTAGAATAGAGTTTCTCAGATAAATCTCTTCTTTCTTCAGTTACGTTGCATTTTTGTTAGTTTAATACGCTATAGAACGTAAGGAATGACAGAGCAGAGGTCACTATGTGACCAATGACTAACTTAAACTTAACCATTGTGCAGCGTTTATTGTAGTCTTATCTCTTTTGGAGGTGAGCCGCTTTCGTTTTTACTACAATTGCATCGTAATTCAACAAAAAACAAGCGGTTATGTTATTTTACTTTTTCACTTTTTATTTCTGTTTTTCACTATTACATTTTATTAAAATATAATATAATGTATAAGCCAAGTGGGTGCGAGTCACCATCTAATCTATTCGTTGACAAATATCTCAAACAGCAGCATGTTGGGAACTAAGCAAGCACTTTGTTTGAAATTTTTTGCGCATATTATAAAGAACTGAAAAACCTTCGTCTGATCAAGTTTCTAATGATTTCGACTGAAGTTATCAGTGATCGTCAAATTTCATCAGAATAACAATTTGTGTGAAATGCATTTTTTGAGCTATTGTTTAGATGAAAACTACATGAAAAATCACCTGAAGTAGTGATATCACTACCAAATTCTCTATTTAAGGACTTAACTAGGACAAATAAAAAGAACATAATGATATGTAGAAGCTATGCTTATGGCTGTTAACAAAAGTTTTTATCTTTCTGCACATTATCGTGCTTTATAAACATTAGACAATCGTTGGGAAAAGGATGGGAACAGATTTTTTTAGTATTCAGTCCTAACGGATTTCGGTCAGAGCTCCACTTCAGAAAAAAATATTTTATCCTGCTGAAGACTATCGAAAGATTTGTGTGAATCATGTTTTGTATTTATCAATCTTCATCGATGAATCTTTTAATTAAATTTTGAGCAACAAAAATGGGTATACCGACATTTGGGCGCACGACATTTAGGCGCACGACATTTAGGCGCACGACATTTAGGCGCACGACATTTAGGCGCACGACATTTAGGCGCACGACATTTAGGCGCACGACATTTAGGCGCACGACATTTGGGCGCAACGATAGTTGAAGTTCAAAGACGCCGGTGTGGGTGAGTGTGAGTATGGATGAAGATTAAAGAAACAGTTAAGTGGTTACAGTTGGATATGAGTAATATAGAAAAAGCTCTCACAACATAAAAAGTTTGTTGAACACTAGAACACCCGGAAATTTTCATGACCAAAAACGCCCAAAGCGGTCATTTTGACCATTGCTGTTTTTTTTTAAAATTTTATAATTGAACATGGTTCTGAATTAAAAATTCTGCAAAAAATAATTTTTGCGGGACAAATTAAAAGTAAACTCAAAAAACGGTCAAAATGACCACTATGGGCGTTCTAGTGTTTTTTATCGTTTGCAGCATACTTTAACAAATGCACTACTTCTGTTTGCTTTTGTCGTAGATGCGCCCAATGTCGTTGCGCCTAAATGTCGCTGCGCTCAAATGTCGCTGCGCTCAAATGTCGCTGCGCTCAAATGTCGCTGCGCTCAAATGTCGCTGCGCTCAAATGTCGTTGCGCTCAAATGTCGCTGCGCTCAAATGTCGCTGCGCTCAAATGTCGCTGCGCTCAAATGTCGCTGCGCTCAAATGTCGCTGCGCTCAAATGTCGCTGCGCTCAAATGTCGCTGCGCTCAAATGTCGCTGCGCTCAAATGTCG